CTCCGCAATAAATAAGGAGGCACTTCGGGAAATCTCACATCCCATTTCTTTTCCTCGCTTCACCATGTCCGAGAATAACGAGATCACCCCGGAAATAGGGCGCCGCTTTGACGCGTTCAACAAACGCAGCCGCGTGCTTCACCGGATCTCCAAAGCGGCATTCTTGATGTACGACAAAGACGGTTCGGAAATTGGCCTTCTCGACTCCAATACTATTCGGCTCTTCACTGACTACAACGTTTCTCTCTGCACTCGCGAGGAGGTGCCGACCAGAGTCCCGATGTACTACAAGGAGTTTGCGAAGCACTTCAACAAGTACGACGGCTCCGCCTTCGCGCTGGCGTACGTTCAGTCGGTCGGAACTATTTGGTTCGACGACTCTAAGGAGGTTGCCGACGCCAACTTCTTTTGCGTTCTCGATCGTGAGCTCAACCGCCACATTCCCGATGGGGAATTGGCAGTCTCGCGTATCTATTTCGAAAACGCCGAACGCCTGAACCAACAGGAACAGAAGCGCCAGCTGAAGTATTTCGCTGAACGCTCTCTGAAGCGCCGCGCCGACGCCGACAAGCCTGTCCTTAGCTCGCAGCAGGACAGGGAAGCTTTCCGGAAGCGCCGCAAACTTCTCGAGGACGCTATTGCCGTCAACGCTACCGGCACCGCGGCGCCTGTCATTCCCCTTGCGCCCGCGCCTGTCACTCCCATCGCGCCCGCGCCTATCACTCCCATCACGCCCGTGCCTGTTGCTCACCTCGGCTCCGCGCTGGGTTCCGTGCCATCCACTCCCCTCGGCTCCGTGCTGGGTTCCTTGGCGTCCACTCCCGTTCCCGAGTCGCCCTTCCCTACCTCCGGTGAAAACGAGGACGGCGAGATCGAGGGTGAACACGAAGATTCGTACGACGACGTGTTTGAGCAGGATGGTGATGCGCTGATGGGTGGTGAACCAGTTTTGCCGAACTAGTCCGCCGTGTACGTCGGCCTGGAGGGCGGATGTAACGGTACCATGCGACGCTCTCGCGTCATCTCACTGTCCTTACTAATATTTCTTTCATTTACCTCCGTGTTTTACTTACACTCCTTTATGTTAGTCACAGTATATATAACGAGTGTCACTGTAGTTAGTACCTCAGTCAATAAACTACATCCCACTTCTTTCGTCCGAAGTCAGCCCGACTAACTGACACAACGAACCTCTGTGTGCCGGAACTGCCGACTTACTAGCCGCCTCCGTCACAGGTCCACATCTGCTTCCATTGATTCAGCAGTCAATCCATACTGTAGACAAAGCCTGTTCGACTCAAGCCTGAGCCATTCTTCTCCTAGCTTTTTTTCACTCTCCTCTGAAAAAATGATCTCAGAGTTGGGTTCGAAGGGAGGTAAGAGAGGCTCAGTAGTGGGTGGTCCACATCTGCTTCAATTAATGAAGCTCTTCCTTCAAGTTCTCATGCAGTTAATGCCTGTTCGACTCAGGCCTGAGCTATTCCCCTTTCGTTCTTTTTTTATTCACACTCTTCTGAAAAAATGATCTCTTGGCTAGGTTTGTAGGGATGTAAGGGAGGCTTAGTAGTGGGTGGTCTGCATCTGCTTTCATTCCAAAGCTTTGTTCTTCATTATGCAGATAAATTATAATGCCTGTTCAACTCAGGCCTGAGCCATAATAGATATCTCTTTTTTTTTTATTTTTATTTGTATTCTTCTGAAATATTGGCTCTTACTTGGGTTCAAAGGGAGGTAAGTAGCAGAAGGTCTGCATCTGCCTACAATAAGGCAGAGGGTACAGTAATGCAGAATAAGCCTGTTCGACTCAGGCCTGAGCCATACACTGGAGTTCTCTGCTTGAGTTACTTTTTTGTTCACATTCTTCTAAAAATGGTCTCTTACTTGGGTTCGAAGGGAGGTAAAAGAGCCTCAGTAGCAGAGGGTCTGCATCTGCCTTTAATATGGGGAAAGCTCAGGTTAATGCAGAGTAAGCCTGTTTGACTAAGGCCTGAGCCATGATATCTTGTTGTTGTTGTTTTCCACTGAAATTCTTCTGAAAAATAGTCTCTTACTTGGGTTTGAAGGGAGGCCAAGAAGGCTTGGTAGTGGGTGGCCCACATCTGCTTCCATTGTGATCGAAATCATATCATGTTGTCAACAAAGCCTGTTCGACTCGGGCCTGAGCCATCGGGGATTCCGAGGACACATTTTTTATTCTAATTATTCTGAAAAGATGATCTCTTAGTTGGGTTTGAAGGAAGGGAAGGAAGGCTTAGTAGTGGGTGGTCCACATCTGCTTCCATTGATCCAGGAGTCAATCCATACTGTAGACGGAGCCTGCTCGACTCGGGCCTGAGCCATAAGTGTATTTTTCTCCTTTTTTTGTTGTTTAAATTTTTTCTGAAATATACTCTCTTATTCGGGTTCGAAGGAAGGTAGGAGAGGCTCAGTAGCAGAGGGTCTGCTGCATCTGCTTTCATTCCAAAGCTTTGTTCTTCATTATGCAGATAAATCATAATGCCTGTTCAACTCAGGCCTGAGCCATAAGTGTATTTCTCTGCTTCTTTTTTTGTTGTTGTTTAAACTTTTCTGAAATATGCTCTTTTAGTTAGTTTCAGAGGAAGGTAAAAGAGGCTCAGTAGCAGAGGGTCTGCATCTGCTTCCATTGAGAGTGATTGAACCCATATCATGTTGTAGACAAAGCCTGTTCGACTCAGGCATGAGCTATAATAGATATCTCTTTTTTTGATTTTTATTTGTATTCTTCTGAAAAATAGTCTCTTACTTGGGTTCAAAGGGAGGTAAGTAGCAGAAGGTCTGCATCTGCCTTCAATAAAGGGGAAAAGTCTGGATAATACAGAATAAGCCTGTTTGACTCAGGCCTGAGCCATACAGGTCTCTCCTTCTCTTTTTGTTGTTGTTTAAATTCTTCTAAAAAATGGTCTCTTAGTTGGGTTCAAAGGGGGTAAAGAAGGCTCAGTAGTGGGTGGCCCACATCTGCTTCCATTGATTCAGCAGTCAATCCATACTGTAGACAAAGCCTGTTCGACTCGGGCCTGAGCCATGGATATCTCTTTTTTTTTTGGTTTTTTATTTTATTTGAATTCTTCTGAAAAAATGATCTCTTGGCTAGGTTTGAAGGGAGGAAAGGAATGCTCAGTAGTGGGTGGTCCACATCTGCCTTCAATGCAGGGGATGTTTTTATAATTGTGCAGATAATTTAATGCCTGTTCGACTCAGGCCTGAGCCATACAGTTTTCTTCTCCTCTTTTTGTTGTTGTTTAAATTCTTCTGAAATATGTTCTCTTATTAGGTTCAAAGGGATGTAAGAAAGGCTCAGTAGCAGAGGGTCTGCATCTGCCTACAATAAAGTGGCGGGTACAGTAATGCAGAATAAGCCTGTTCAACTCAGGCCTGAGCCATTCCAAAAATGGCCGCATCTTTTATTTTCTCTCCTCTGAGAAATGGTAATCTTGAGTTAAACAGGTTGGCAAGGAGGAAATGAAGGCTCAGTAGTGGGTGGTCCACATCTGCTTCAATTAATGAAGCTCTACCTTCAAGTTCTTATGCAGTTAATGCCTGTTCGATTCAGGCCTGAGCCATTCCCCTTCTGTTCTTTTTTTATTCGCACTCTTCTGAAAAAATGATCTTTTGGCTAGGTTTGAAGGGAGGTAAAAGAGGCTCAGTAGCAGAGGGTCTGCATCTGCCTTTGATAGAGAGGAGAGCCATTTATAATGCAGAATAAGCCTGTTCGACTCAGGCCTGAGCCATGGATATCTTTTTTTTTTTTTTTGGTTTTTCATTTTATTTGAATTCTTCTGAAAAACAATCTCTTAGTTAGGTTAGAAGGGAGGTAAAAGAGGCTCAGTAGTGGGTAGCCCACATCTGCTTCCATTGAAAAGATGTCATCAATGTTGTAGACAAAGCCTGTTTGATTCGGGCCTGAGCCATTCCCCTTCCATTCCTTTTTTATTCACATTCTTCTGAAAAATAGTGTCTTAGGTGGGTTCAAAGGGAGGTAAGCTCAGTAGCAAATGGTCTGCATCTGCTTCCATTGAAATGATGAGAGACATGTTATAGACAAAGCCTGTTTGACTCAGGCCTGAGCCATAATTGAATCTCTCTCCTTCTTTTTTTTTGTTGTTGCTTAAATTTTTCTGAAATATGCTCTCTTATTAGGTTCAAAGGGAGGTAAAAGAGGCTCTGTAGCGGAGGGTCTGCATCTGCTTTCATTCCAAAGATTTGTTCTTTACTGTGCAGATAAAGCCTGTTCGACTCAGGCCTGAACCATCAATATGCACTTCTGTTTATTCTCATTGTTGTTTAAATCTTTTAAGGCTCTCTTAGTTGGATTCAAACGGGGTAAATAAGGTTCAGTAGCAGTGGGTCTGCATCTGCCCATAACGGTAAAATCTTGTTTGCGTTGCAGACAATTGACCCATGCATAACCAGTCTTGCAATTTTTTTTTTTTGGATTCGAGAAACAGTAATCTACATCAAGTGGATTTGAAGGGGGGTAAGGAAGGCTCAGTAGTGGAGCATCCACCTCTGCCCTTACTGGAAAAACCCTGTTCAACTCAGGCCTGAGCCCTAGCTGTTTGTGTTGACTTTTTTTTTTCACTCTCCTCTGAAAAAATATTCTCTTAGTTGGTTTAAAAGGAAGGTAAGAAAGGCTCAGTAGTGGGTGGTCCACATCTGCTTCCATTGATTCAGCAGTCAATCCATACTGTAGACAAAGCCTGTTCGACTCGGGCCTGAGCCACTATCTGGGATTCCAAGGACACATTTTTTTATTCACACTCTTCTGAAAAGATGATCTCTTAGCCAGGTTTGAAGGGAGGTAAGGAAAGCTCAGTAGTGGGTGGTCCACATCTGCTTCCATTGATCCAGGAGTCAATCCATATTGTAGACAAAGCCTGTTCGACTCGGGCCTGAGCCATCCGGGATCCCAAGAACACATTTTTTATTCTTATTATTCTGAAAAGATGATATCTTGGCTAGGTTTGAAGGGAGGTAAGGGAGGCTCAGTAGCAGAGGGTCTGCATCTGCTTTTGATAGAGAGGAGAGCCATTTATAATGCAGAATAAGCCTGTTCAACTCAGGCCTGAGCCATTCCCCTTCCATTCCTTTTTTATTCACACTCTTCTGAAAAATTATTCTCTTAGTTGTTTTCAAAAGGAGGTAAGAAAGGCTCAGTAGCAGATGACCTGCATCTGCCCATAACGGTAAACCCTTGTTTGTGTGCAGACAAAGCCTGTTTGATTCAGGCCTGAGCCATCCAGTGTAGAAAGTGAGACACATTTTTATTCACATTCTTCTGAAAACATTATCTCTTGGCTAGGTTTGAACTTTGAAGGGAGGAAAGGAAGGCTCAGTAGTGGGTGGTCCACATCTGCTTCCAATGAGAACGATTTAGAATCATATCCATACTGTAGACGAAGCCTGTTCAATTCAGGCCTGAGCCCTAGTTGCGTCAGATCAACTTTTTTATGCACTCTTCTTTGAAGAGAATAGTAAGCTTTATTTGGGTTGAAAAGAGGCAAATCAAAGCTCATTAATGGAGGCTCAAAATCAGCTCCTACTGGAAAAACCCTGTTCATGTTTCAGATAAAGTCTGTTCAATTCAGGCCCAAGCCATCTGGGGTAGAAAGCAAGACACATTTTATTCACATTCTTGTGAAAAATGGTGTCTTAGTTAGGTTTAAAGGGAGGTAAGGAAGGCTCAGTGGCAGAGGGTCTGCATCTGCCTTTGATAGAAGTGAAGGCCATTTATAATGCAGAATAATCCTGTTCGACTCAGGCCTGAACCCTAGCTGTTTGCGTTGACTTTTTTTTTCATTCTTGCTTTGAAGAAAATGGCAAGCTTTAGTTGGGTTTAAAGGGAGGCAAGGAAGGCTCAGTAGTGGAGGGTCCGCATTTACCCTCACTGAAAAAAGGCAACCATGTTGCAGACAGTGCCTGTTCGACTCAGGCCTGAGCCCTTCCAATGTTGGGTCATCTTTTTTATTCATTCACACTTTGACAAGCTTTAACTGGGTTTAACGGGAGGCAGGAGAGGCTCAGTAGTGGAGCATCCACCTCTGCCCTTACTGGAAAAACCCTGTCCATGCTGCAGATGAAGCCTGTTCAACTCAGGCCTGAGCCCTGGTCATGTATTGTTGGCTTTTTTAACCATTCTCCTTCCCAGAAAATGTTAAGGATTTATTTCCGGCCTGGTACCCCTCTGCATACCGACACTTCTGCATAAATACTGTACAATTTGTTGACAATACTTGAGTCTTACCCTTTACCTTACACTACGTGCAGCACTTTGACAATACACATTGTTCGAAGTTAGCACGTTCCGTGAGGTCTCTGGGATGGACTCTTACAGAAAATGACAAGCTTTGGTTGGGTTGAACAGAAGGAAAGGAAGGCTCAGTAGTGGATGGTCCACATCTCCTTTTATCACAAGAAATTTCTCACTCATTACGCAGATAAAGCCTGTTCGACCCAGGCCTGGCCCTAGGATTTTTGCATTGAGTTTTTTCATTCATTCCTGCTTTGAAGAAAATAGCAAGCTTCATTGAAAAGGGGCAAGGAAGGCTCAGGTGCGGAGGGTCTGCATCTACTTTCAATCAACGAGTTCTTCTGTCTTTTTGTGCAAATGAAGCCTAGTTCAAGTATTTGACTCAGGCCCGCATTATTATCTTTGTTGCCTTTTTTTTTCCAGACCACAATGATCCTTTACTTGGGTTCAAAAGGAGGAAAGGAAGGCTCAGAAGCAGAGGGTCTGCATCTGCCCTCACTGAAGAAAAAAGTAACCCCTGTTGCAGACAACACCTGTTCGACTCAGGCCTGAGCCCTGCCACCGTAATCTTGAGTTTTTGTATTCATTCTTGATTTGAAGAAAATGGCCAGCTTGAGTTGGGTTCAAAGGGAGGAAAGGAAGGCTCAGTAGCAGAGAGTCTGCATCTGCCTTTATGAGAACAGACAACCACGATAATGCGAACATGCCTGTTCAACTCAGGCCTGAACCATACTTCATTTCTGTTGCTTTTTTCTCTCTGATTCACACTCTTCTGAACAATGATCCCTTACTTGGGTTTAATGAAAGGGGAGAAAGGCTCAATAGCAGTATATTTGTGTCTGCCTCCAATAGAACGGTGGGCAGCAACAATGCAGAATAAACCTGTTTGACTCAGGCCTGAGCCATTTAATGAATGGAATGCATCCTCTCAAAATGGTGATCTTAGGTTAAGCAGGTTAGAAAGGAGGAAAGGAAGGCTCAGTAGCAGAGGGTCTGCATCTGCTTCTGTTTAACAAAATTTGTTCTTCCTTGTGCAGATAAAGCCTGTTCAACTCAGGCCTGAGCCCCTTGTATTTTGTTGTCATCGTTTTTATCCACTCTTGCTTTGAAGAAAATGGTCTCTTCGTGAGTTCTACAGTTGTGGACAAGCAAAGTCCACAAATTGCCTGTAGCCTTAACTAGACTTATTTAGGTTCCAATTTAATTTTTTCTGGGACCAGATTGGCCCAAAGAGCTCAAAAAACATACTCCGAAGTTTTTCCTGCGACAAATTAGCGGCGCCAAAATTTTGGGCGAGACCGAAAACCCCGATCTGTAATCGGAGACGATTGAGAAAAATCGATTTTTGGAACACAGCCACATCATATTATGTAATCAACCTACAACCGCCTCGATCGCTGCCAAGGCACTGTTTGAAGCTGAACGGTGCTGCTTCTGTGGCCTTACTGCCCACTCTGCTGCTCTCCCAGTCAGTCCCGAACGATAAGCAGCCATAAACCTCCATGATCTGTTAACAAACCGCCGAATTACCTCTGTGGGGCAGGCATCAAGGTACTTCAGAGCCAGGTCCTTTGAATCTTGGAAGCTCTTCTTGGGAACCTGCCGATAGCGATACTTGCACCATCCCCAGTACTAAAAAAATCAGAAACCAGTTTATGGTGTAGCAAAAATCAAATAACTTACCATTTCAATCGGATTGAGCTCACAATGGAATTTGGGTAAGAAAATGCATTCATGGCCTGCCTCGGTTATCACTGCTTCAAGCATTGATGGCTGGTTCAAGAAATCATCCTGCTGGCTCAGAAGGCGAGCCATGCAACACCCAGTGTTTTCGAGGGGACAGACAGGTGAACATTTTGCTTTCAGTTTTGAAACATCAAAGCCACGCTCCACCAAGACATCATGAAGTCCCTTGGCCTCACCGTTGGCCGTCGTCATCTTCTGAAGCTTGCCCCGTTGTGCAGGGCTAGGGTTGGTCTCAGGAATAATTGTGTCATTCTGTTTCCTTTGCTTTCCACCATTAGATTTGTTCATATCAAATGCACGGAGTGCACCAGGAGCCAATGATGCATGAGCAGAGGACTGATCAAATATGAAGAGTGCTGTCACACCCGGATGAATATCATTGTGAATCTTTATAGCCTTCCTGATTTGCACCATAAGTTGTTCTGTGTCCCACCAAGCATCACCCTTGGAACCTGGGTAGATTATATCCCGAGCATCTGCAATAATATTGCCATCTTTGTCTCGTTGGACAAGGCGGCCAGTGCCTTCTGTAATGAAATCAGATACGTGAATCAGACGACCCCGGCTCTTCTTTTGGAGGACAGTTTGACCCTCAGCAAGCCATGCTGATTTCATATAATCAAGAGCATGGAAGCAACATTCATCATGAAAGTATGCAATGACTTTTTTGACCCCATCAGGAAGCTTTGGTTCAGTTGCTTCAAGTGTTTTCCTATCATATGTAGTCATCCGTGCTTGAAATTCTGCCATCTTGGGCAAAAAGACATCTGTTCGATATTTCACAACATCAGGCCGTTCATGGCCATCCATATAAACACCTTTCTTGATCAAGGTCCGACGATATCCAAGTCGGATAAGCCAGCGCCGTGCAGTGCGCTCACTGATTGGTTTCTTAGGAGTGATTCCAAGGGCAGTAAGAATCTCTGAGTTGACACCTTCCCGGAATTTCTGGGGGGTTACTGAACCCACTGCCTGCTTCAATAACCAAGCTAGACATGCAGTTTGCACGGATTCATCATTCAACAATGACTTTGCATTTGCATGACCACCCCGGGTCTCAACTGGCAGTTCTTCAAAAAGCTGATAGTGACGAGCCAGTGCTCGAACCCGCCGGGCAAAGTGGTTTCCATTTCCTTCATGCCATTGTCGGGCAATTTCAAGGCTTGCCTGAATTCTTTTCAGGCCCTTGATTTGCAGAGTAGCAAAGTTACGGATTATGAGAAGTTGGTTGTACTGTGTGAGAGGGAGATTGCGCTTTTTCAGATCAGTTTTGACCTTCTCACGCAGGGCATGCCAGCTGCGAATATTTCCAGCACCTTGTGGTGGGGAAGATGAGCCTGAATCAGTGGTTGGTGGTGCTGTCCCAGGGACCTGTGCATCCACCATTTCATCCAGTATTGTATCCCATTCATTGGGATCATCATCCTCCTCTTCATCTGAGTTATCAAGCACGATTAATGGTGGACTCTCAGAGTGGTCATCACTGGGAGCTGAGAGAACAGATGCAGACCGGGTGCGAGGGATAACCTGAGCTGGAGAGGGAGAACGAGTGGGAGGTGCAGTTGAAAAGGGAGTGGTTGATGGTTCACTTGGAGGAGGTGACTCCATTTCTTCACTCTCTGCATCTACTGGCTGAGAGGTTCCAGGCTGCAAAAAGAATGAATCCAGAGTCTTCTGTCCTTTGTTACTTTTAGCATAGCGTTGCTGGGTGCGCTTGGATTTGCTGGCAGTGTCTGGGCCTTTCATATATTCTGTTGGACGGCCTGGTTGACAATGAATAAAATGAATACCTGCACAGTTCAATAGAATTGACCTTCAGGTTTACGTCTTTTTGCCTCAGCAGCTTGTCGGGTTGGAATCCAATCATCATCTCCAGCATCTCTGCGATCCTCCTCCATCTTGACTATCATTTCCAGCAAGCGTTCTTGGAAATCTTCATCTGCAACTTCATCCCAGTCTGCTTCGGTATCATCATCATCCTGGTCAGAGTCAACCTCCAGGTACATCAGACTGTCCATTTCCAAGAGATTCATAGCCTCAGAGTCTCCAGAGTCTACGTAGTCTCCAATGTCATCGGAGTCAGTAGGGCTTGGGTCCCGAGTGGGTGCCGCAGAGGAAGATGATTGCCTAGATCCCTGGTTCCTGAGTCCACTAATATTGCGTTTAGCCCGCTTGGGTGGTCTTCCAGTGCGTGGTTTGCCTCCAGCCATGGTGGTAGAGGACAAGAGAGGCTGGTGTGATAAGAGATAGCTGGTCGGGCGGAACTCGGGCGGAACATTCAAACTTTTGATCAGCAGACTGATCAGGTGACCAATAAAGATCATTGAATTGCGCGAGAACGGCACGATGGATTTTCCAGATTGTTGCAGATTCAGAACCGTATCGACGAGAGCTTTCGATTGCACCCCCTCCGAAGTTTTTCCCATCAATTTTAAGCGACGCCAAAATTTTTGATGGTCTGATGTACTAAATCGCGATTTGCCGAGGAACGGCTCGACAGATGGACTTAAATTAAATATGGCCAGGAAGCTCTCGACGAGATCTATCGATTGGCATACTCATCTCACCTACAAAAGTCATCTTTTTTTTTGGTGGACTTTGCTTGTCCACAACTGTAGATAAAGAAAGGGAGGGCTCGACAGCAGAGGGTCTGCATCTGCCTTCAATAGCATAATTATGAAAGGCCCTAATAACGCAGAATAAGCCTGTTTGACTCAGGCCTGGGTCCGGGCATTGTTGTGTCAACTCTTTAATTCATTCTTGTGTTGTAGGAATGGCAAGGTTTAGTTGGATTAAAAGGGGCTCAGTAGCAGAGGGTCTGCATCTGCTTTCAATTTTCAAAGCCTTTTGGTGCTCTCTTGTGTAGATAAAGCCTGTTCAACTCGGGCCTGAGCCATAATGGTTTTGCATTTGGAGTTTTTATTTTTTATTCTTTCTACACATCATCTATAGCAGGATCCTTGATAATAAGATTCAGTAGCGGATGGTCTGCATGTCCTTTCATTGTGTAGATAAAGCCCATTCAACTTGGGCTTGAGGCATATTGATTTTTGTATTGCATTTCTTTTGGAGGGGGAAATACACCTAGCTCCCTTAGGGGTTTAGAGGGGTGGAGCAAGGCTCAGTAGTGAAGTATCCACATCTGCTTCAATTCATCCTTCCTTGCTGAGGAAAGTTATTGTGCAGAAAAAGCCTGTTCGACTCCGGCCAGAGCCATGGAAGTTAGTCTCTTATAAACAGACGCTACAACAAAAAATACTCGTACCTCGTGTGTTGTAGTCTGTCAGATCCCTGATCGGTGTGATTGGAAGTCGACCTTATTATGTAAGCTCAGATTTCTTGGCTGTCTTTCACACATTTAGGATGAATATGAGGGATTTTTTTTGTCAGATTATCACTCAGTGAATCAGAATGGAAAGATTTCCCACTCAAGTTTTTTGCGGAAGAGCACAGGCGAAGAAGTCAAAATTTGATGGACCGTTGACCGGCCTTTCATTCCACGAGGATTATGGATACGAAAGATAAATTTGAGGAGACAGATCTATTGAAAATGAAAATAAAACTCATTTGGCCTCCTAGACTTTTGAATCCATGCCTCTGGAAGCGCCACAGAGCCCGAACCAGAATTCAAACTCCGCACTTTACGTAATAAGGTCGACTTCCAATGATCGGGCGCGGTTAAACTACAGACTACATGGAAGTTGGAATTGCATTTTTGGTAATTTCCTTGGGGAAAAATCAGGTTGAGCAGTTGAGCTGAGTTGAAAGAAAATGAAGAAAGGCTCAGTAGTGGAGGGTCCACATCTGCTTCTTGTCTAAGTTTCCAGTCTTCTGTTGGGAATAAAGCCTGTTCGACTCAGGCCTGAGCCATGTAATATTTGTCTTGCATCTTTTTATTCACTCTGTTCCGAAAAATGTCTCTTTTGAGCTGAGTTTCAGAAGGTAAGAATAAAAGCTCAGTACTTAGCAGAGAGTCTGCGTCTCCACTAATTGCGAAAGATTTCCCCCTCATTGCGCAGATCAGGCCTGTTCGACTCGGGCCTGGCTCTGAGCTCCAAAATTGACTTGTTTTTTATTCACTCTGCATTTGAGTTCTCTACTAATGAGCTCAGGAAAGTAGAGGAGGGACTGCTACAAGGACTGCTCCTTCCACGGTTGAATTTCGACAACGAGTTGGAAGCCGGAGATCTCCGGATGCGGTGCATCGCCACCGTCAACCAGCCTTTCCGCGACTACGTTCGACTCTCAAACATCCGCCCGTTTTTTGTAGCCAGAGAAGCGTTTCAGGCACAAAGGCAACCAGTAGAAAACGATTAGGCGCAGAGATGCTCCCAAAAATCCGATATTGCGTCGTCCCGGGTCGCAGGAGACGATGAACGCGGCTCGCCCTCAGCCATCTTCAAGAGTCGTCTTCAAATGCCTCGGGAGCACTCCCCATTTGCTACCAGGTCTCCTCTCATTCAGCCCTGGCCCCGCAGACCGCGAATTCCCAAGTCGAGAAGGCGGTGGTGACTCACGTTGAATGTATGGGAAGGTACGTAGGCCTTACCTCTCATCGACCCCATCCTTCTCAACAGTCTGTGTAATTACAGAGCGTCCACGCCGTCCCGCTGTCTCCGAGTCCACCTTCCCGCCTCCTTTCGCGCTCGCACTGCGATCGTCCATACTGTGTACGCATGCGCATGAACTTGTCGAAGAAAGACGTTGGCGAAGGTACCTTTTTTCTTTTTCCCTCCCCTTGTTATCGGCCCCATCCGCCCCTGCTCTGCACTAACCTGTCGATGTACGCCCTCTCTCCTCTCCTCCCATCCCCATCCAACCTGTGCTCCCCTCCCCCACCGTCTCTTACCCATTCGCTTCATCCCGCGTATTCAATACTAACGTATTGCCTGCAGGCTCGTCTCGACGAAACCACCACCCCCACCGCGGTGACCGGCGTCCAGGTCGTCCATCCGCCGACTTCCATCGAAACTGACGACCTACTGGCGTACGCGGACCATGTCATCCTCGAGCCCCATACTGCGGCGCGTGCCCTCCTTCCCGTCCCTCTCGCGGTCATCTCTACATCTACATCCCACATCCGCATCCATCCCGTCCTTCCCCTCGCCCCATCCGCCACTAGCACGCCCTGCAGCGCTCGCATCCCGCACGCGCGCAATGGATATCGCTTTTTTGTGGCTACGGGTCCGACGGGCTGCTGCTGCGTGCACGGTGTGCTTCGCGATGCTGGGAAGTGTGGTGGCGATGTGGCGAGACGCGGGTGCGTCGAGATTGTTTCAGCGCTGGCGGGATCCAGCCTTCGAACTTCGAAAAACCACGCGCAGACCGGGGGAGCAGGCGCACTTTTCGCAAAGCGCGCGTGCGCATGCGTTGCAACCAGCCAAGAACGTGAACGACGCGAGATCGCCTTTGCGACGACACGTGCACGCAGCGCCGACTGCTCTGCCCAACTTCGCGCTCACTGACGTGTCCGTGCTGGCACCGCTATTCTTACCTTAGACGGCACGAGCTGCCGTGGAGGCCGGTGCTCTGCGGCACTCATCGAAACCATTTCTTCGCCGTCCATTCGTGAGGCCCGCGCATTCTCGCGACTTTCAGCTTCCCAAACGCCCGAGGGAGCAGCGCGTTCGACAAGTCGGCGTGGATGCCCGCGAGCGTTAGTGGTGCTATCCCTGCGCCCTCTTCCCAACGCATACCTTGACCGGCTGCCGCTTGTCCGTCCACCCGTGTCGTGACGTGCTCCCCGTGACGACGCCCGGAGGAGCGTTCGCACAGACGTGTTTTTTTTTTGATTCTGGCACAGCGCGGGTCGGCGGGCGGTGGGTGCGTCGCGGTGCTGCGTGCCGACGCGTGACGCGTGATACGTGAGGGGGAGCGGTCGGTGGCTGGAGGACGACTTTGATGCAGCGTCTGCGTGTCTGCGCCCTTTTCCCGACTGGTGTGGAGCGCGGCGCGGTGCAATTCAGGGAGGGTTGGGCGTGCGGTGTGGTGTGGTGCGGCGCGACGAACAGCATAGACCTCTCTCGTTGGCCGTGCTCCTGCTCCGCGTCCCGCCCGGCGGATGGCGGACGAGGGATGGCTAGCGGTGGATGCGGTGCTGTGCGGTGCCGCGTATGGATCGCCTGGAAGCGGGAGATACCATTCTTCTGGACATACCTTCTACTCGGACAACGCTCGAAGACACGCGCACTCGCTCGAAGACACACGCGCACTCGCACCCGCATGCCGCACCAGCGCAAAATACTTCGCCCGCCTTCGGAAAACGGCGATGAAAAAAGCTAGAAGGGAGCGGGGAACAAGACGAGTAGTGGTGGGGAATAAAGAGCACGCAGGACGAAGACCAGCCGCCCCTTACGTGGCGTCCACACCGCTCGGAGGCCCATCCTCGGGCAGGACATCGACGCTGCCTTAACCACCCCACATCACACCCTCTCCTCGACAACCTCGCATCCTCGCGCTGCACTCGGATTCACCATACCTTCGATCCTCCGTTCCTCGCCTATCTCCTGCGCGTCTTGAAGGTGTATTCCAAGACGTGCCCGGCGTAGCGTCTTACGTGCCGCAGCCCGCAGGAATCGCTGGGGCGGGGATTTGCCCAGACGGGCGCGGCGTCGACCCTCGATTGCACCGAGCATCTCTTCGTACTTAGTTGGTCCTATCCTCCACCCTGGGTCACGTCCATCGACACCCCTTCTCGCACCGCCAGCTCGCCTCCTCCAGGGTTTGGATGTTGGCTCCTCGCATCCAGGCGCGGTGCGCCGCGTGCGCGTGCGATGGGTTAGGGCGTAGCTGTGCCCAGGTCATACATACTGTGACACCCCCCGTCGAGTCCGCGCGCTCTTTTCCTGCACACGGACGATAGTCGCGTACCCCCCGAGTCAAAAGTCCAGGCCAGAGTTGAGAGGAAAGAGGAAGTGCCCGGTATCGCTATCTCCGTGTGGGTGTGGTCTGGGATGAAGCATGTTGTTGGAAGTCTTATCCATTGCGAATGTGATCACGTGATATAATATCCGACGCTTTGATCACTGAACGCGAGGACTTTCGAGGACTTTCGATTTGCTGAAGTGCCGAAAGAAATTGAAAGAAATTGCTAGGGAATCACTTTAACAATTTAACAATGTGATACCCATCTACGTATGTAAATACTTAGGTACAAGTACCTCGATGGACCTCGAGCCTTCTGTGTTGTTGAAGTTCGACATTGTTGTTCAAATTAGCCTGATACTTCGTCGTTTTGTCACTGTGCATGACCGTATATCTATTCTATGGACAGACATACACATCTATAGTATATATAATAATTATTCCCCCTCGATTTCGCCGCCATCTAGAACAGTCGCGAGACGATCATCCGAGAATATTCCCCAGTGGCCCACATTGTCGAGATAGTGTATTGGCACTTCATATTCCATGCGACCGGCCCCGTAATTGGCCCAGTCTCCCGTGTTCGGAACGACGGATCTCAGACCATGCTCTGCAATCACCAATGCAAACGGTGCTTTTACGGAACTGACCCAGCTTGTCCATGCGTCCACGAAGCGGACGTACGAGAATTCCTCGTCGTGGGGATACAGTTCCTCCATGAACGCGAATATCATCCTGAGCAGTCTGTGCAGGACTTGACCTTCGGGATATGCCGAGTCCTCCGCATCCCCGATGGCCGCGCGAAGCTCCGCCACCGAGCCTGGGCTTATCGACGGGTCCCGCTCAAGCATCAAGATGACCTTTTCCTTCGCAATGCTCAGCAAATCATCGACTGCTCCGCGACAGAATCCATCCTCGTGGTCAGCATGGACCCACATGAGCGGGAAATGGTCGAGGAATATCAGCTGTTGCACATCCTGCCCACTATCCTCCAGCAGCTTTACTAGGGCAATCGTATGCGCTGACGTTGCG